GTTGACCTTGATACCGAACATTCCGCAATTTCAATTTTAAATGTTTGTAGACATTAAGAGGAAAAAACATTACTTGTTTACTCCGGCAAAGAACAGGCCATAATTTCACTTTTTATTCATATACAATTCTTAGAACAGATCCATTAAAGACATGCACGTATTACATGTAGGTTATCACAATACTCACAATACTACCTGTTTGTATTGAAAGAACTACAGTGTCTACTCCCTACTCTCTTGTATGTTTTAGAATTTGAAATATATGTGTTTTTGGAATTATTTTCAATTACGTTCGGCAATTTTCTTCTTCAGTTCACTGATTTCAAGTCGCAATTAAAACGTCGGTTTGAGTGTTTTGACTAATTAAAAACTTAGAAATGCAGGTCTCAAAGAAAAGCTAAGAATTCACAACAAATGTTGTAATAAAAATCAGTTAAGTGAATTATACCATAAATACCCCCGCCGCAGCAAACCTGCAGACTAAGCGAATTTCCATCTGCCTGATTGGTTTTTACTTAAACATGCTTTCTTCTACGTGTCCAGTTTATCCCTATTTATATAAAATTATATTGAATTTTCTAGTACAGGGTGGTCAATTATTTTTTTTTAGTTTCTCTTTTAGGAAAATGTTAATAGCTTAGTATAAAATAAATAAATTTGCAATGTTTGATCAACTAAAACCAAGTTACAACAGATTACTTATTCTGTGATTTTGAAATTTACAATTATAAAATTTTCTTTGTAACCAATAACCGCAGAAAAACACTTCATATATATACACTAGACTATTTGTTTTTTAAGCTCTAAAAAATGCTTTGGGTAGAGATTGATAAGTAGTAAAGATTGACTGGGACGGTGGCGTCGTCCTGTAATCTAGCTACTAGGAGGTCACAAATTGTGGATATAGGTATGCACTGTAGATGCGATGCTCCCTGGTGTGGATTAACGTCCGCACTAGTGAGTACTAAGACTACCCGCAGTACTATCTTGATAAATAGACCAATTGTTAATTACAAGGAAAATGTGGTTCGGATTCCACTATAAACTGTAGGTCACTTAGTTGCCATTAGCTGGCTATTAATTAACAGCTGTGTCTAAGGAATGTCGGCCTTAGTCACTAACAAGACTACAAGATCGCGCCACTCATCCTACACTAATCTCCATTCATATTTGGCTTAAAATACCTACTTTGTATGGTCGCCATTTCATCGAAAAGTATTAAAGTATTAAGTATTAGTAAATTCTAAGTTTTGAAGGTGAAAAAACCCCACTCGTACTCCATAAAACCTTGTTGTGAGGTAAATTTTAAGGGATTGCCAGAAATGTGTGTAGTGTAAACTCTAAAAGGGAGATTAAACTTGTATTCATTGTAGCCTACAAGTAAGACCTAACCCTAAAACCAGCCATGCTCTAATTTCATTCCCGGAGTGCTCAGAAGGAGATGATAAAATCAAGGGGTCGATGGGTAGCTTTATCATGGTGTTAACTGATTAATTTTTCAAATTTAATTAAAATTACGACTATTTTAAATCAAAATTGATAACTATTAAATTTGAGTTTAAATTTGTTGTTTGATTTTGTTGAGAGAAATAATTTTGCATATCTTTCAACATGTATATAACTTAGATTAATATGTCACTAGTGGATGTTAGTAAAAAAGCCTCCAAAGAAACGTCAACCTCTCCACCACCTTGGAGGTCACTCTTTTTTTAATACAGTGGTTCCCAATAAATTTTTAACCCAGAGAATATATTTTCAATTGACAAAATAATTAATTAATACCCAAAATAATAAATTCCATAATATTACATTAGATTTGTATTTAGTGATTTGAATTAGTTGTGATATTTGTTAGTTATGATATTTATTACATTCATGACCCTTTCCCTAGCCAATACTCTTATATTTTAGCAATACCTAAACATTTTTTTTGAGTCAACTTGTTATTTTGTTATTTAAAACTGTTAAGTTAATGTGTTATCTTTTAAAAGTAAAATAAAATTGTATGTTGTAAAAATCAAAGTTTATAAAAAAGAATAAAGTTACTTTAGTGGATAAGGTAGGTTTTTATGTTTTAGAGATTTGTGCATTTTTTTAATTTGTATATACTGTACTACAAATTATTCTTAAGTGTAACGTTGAGAACCACTGTAGGGTAAGAGGTTCCCACAGCCTTGGTGACACAAGCAAGGACTGTGGTATGGAGAAACCCTTCTGCAGAACTGTCTTAAAAAAGACAGTTCACGTAACTGCCTTTCGTAAAGAACAGTGTTGGGCACGTAGCCTTTGGTCACCTCCACCTTGTGAGATGACATTGCCGTAGCATCTTAACTGTCTTTCGTAAAGAACAGTCGGGCACGTAGCCTTTAATCACCTCCACCTTGTGAGATGACATTGCCGTAGCATATTTTTTAACCTGAGAAAACAAACAAATTATACGTCTAATAACACTATTATTAATATATTTACACTTATACTGTTGAATCAAAATCACAATCTTTTTTTATTATTAACTGCCTTTCGTAAAGAACAGTTGGGCACGTAGCCTTTAGTCACCTCCACCTTGTGAGATGACATTGCCGTAGCATCTTAACTGTCTTTCTTAAAGAACCGTTGGGCACGTAGCCTTTAAGGGGAGACTAAACCTTTTATGTCTTAAAAAATTTAATTTTTGTTTTTCGTCTAAAATTAATCTCCGTTTCTTCCTGATTAAGAAAATATATAATACTTAGAATATTAGAAAGCTTCTTATGATAACAATAAATAAACAAAGCTGACTCTACGGAGGTTACGGCCCCACTATTCTTATGGCTTTGAGTGTGTGCTGCAAAGCTTTAAGTGTGTTTTTCCGAAAGTTTGTTTTTTTATCTTTAGGTACATATATTTCAAAATCTGTAATACATAGAGACTTAAAAATTTGCATGCATTAGTCTGGGTACTTGGTGAGTACATTAAACCAATCATATATTGATTAGTTATAAATTTTCATTTTAAAAATAATTATTTTAATTTTTAGAATGTCGCATAAAAATTTGTATTTTTTAAATTATTGAAAATAATTTTTATATTGATATATATATAGTCGTAATCTTTTAAGTATTGCCAACTTATTTTCAAGCGTACACGGATTACGTGCATAGTAAAAGCACGCTGTTTTGTGCTGTTTGGTTGGAGTACTGGTGTGCGCAAAAGTAAAAACTGTGCGCCAAAGTAAGGCTTTCTGTACAAGGAGTTTACTTTGTCGGGTGACTGTTGGGAAATAGTTATTTGTGTAACTAGTGGTGAAAGTGGCATTTTGCTGCACACGAGAGCAATGTTTACGCACGAGCCACAGGCGAGTGCGGAATGATCTCGAGTGCAGCAAAGGCCTTTTTCACTCGTGTTACACATTATATTTTTCCTACAGTCACTATAAAACATATAAATAATTAGTCTTTCAAACACTATACGACACGTTTTTAGGTTCAGCTGGCAACACAAATGGTGCCTTAGGGAAAGTAGTACCCGCGGTCTGTATCACTCCGCTATTTTTCCTCAGCAAGAAATGTGCTCCGCGTTTTGAGAATATAGTTCCGTATGTTTTGTAATTTGAAGTGGTTTCCGCGCCTAAAAAAATGCTTTAAAGGTATTTTCTTTTTTATTAAGATCGTAGGAATGTTTTAAAAACGTTTAAAAGAAAAGTCCAGAAAGTTCAGAAATACCGAAACTATAAACACGAAATGACAGGTTAAATCGTAGTTGTAATAGTCAATCAGCTGCTCATAGTATTGGTATTATTATCTTTAAGAGTTGCCAACCTATTTCCAAGCGTACACGGATTACGTGCATAATAGAACCATGCTGTTTTGTGTTGTTTCGTTGGAATCCTGATGTGCGGCAAAGTATAAACCGTACGGCAAAGTATAAACCGTACGGCAAAGTATAAATATGCAGCAATTAGCAGCTTTCTGTACTATAAACAGTACGAGGAAGCCAACTTTGTCGGGTGACTGTTGGAAAAAACTGTTCCATGTCCCTCATGGTAAAACTTGAACTGAACAAGTCTTAGCACATGATGAAGAGCAATGTGTCATGTACAATGAGCAATACATAATGAAGAGCAAGTCTAATCACAACGTGGCTCATTTACGTAAATTAAAGTCGAATTTACGTAAGAATTAAAACTGAATATACTCGAGTTGATTTGAAAGGAATTTGTACTAAAAGCGAATGTGTTTTAGAGGGTTTACAATACGTTTAGCGGATTTTATACATTTTAACTGGTTATACTTATTTCTATTACAGTGCAACGCTACATATAAAACAAACATTTTATTATGTAGTGATCGTGCTTACTAAACTGTAGCTAATTGAAAAAAATCCACTTAACACTTAAAAACTGTTTAAACAATAATTGTATAAACATTATTATTTTAAAATTATTATGAACTAAAGTTTAAAAATAATTACCGGCTCTATATTGCCTAAAAAAATCAGTCCGGCAAAAAGTATGAAATAAAGCCCTTTACATACTTTGCCTAGTAATGGAATGACTATATTTCAGTTGTAAAGCACAAGTTTTTAGGACAATCTCATATTACTTTGTCCTACACAACTGTGGGCATTCTGAATGACAGGCATCATATACAATACCTAGTCAAAGTGTATACTTTGTGTGTATCTTCACCTGTGGAATTTTAAACTGTTTTTTGTAAGTGAACGGGCCAAAACCTGGTCTTGTATGAAACGATATTAACATTATAGTACTATTTCATACTTTGCCTAAAAGATCTAGACACTGTAGAATGTCTAGTCTAGCTATAAAATGCCTGGATCTTATACTTTGCTGGTAACATACACTTTATTATTCTGATTAGATAACAAGTAGTCTGATATGAATTATTCTCTGGTTACTTTATCCGCTTGTGTATTTGTCTAGGTCTAGGGCAAGGCTAGACACTGACATTGACACTGAAGTGTCTCCCCTCTTTCTCCCTCATCCTCTCTCTTTTTCCCTCTCTTGTCAGTTTCTCAGTTTCTCCGTGTGAGCTGTTCACTGTTGAGCTCGGAAGTAGAACATCTCACAAGGTAAGAAGCATTCGCCTCAAGTTCATTGCTACTTTCACATTGTTTATGAATTATTTGGCGTTACGTTTGCATCCCTGTAATCTTGGGTGGTTTTCGAATTTTGTTGTAGTTTATTTATACAAAAGTTGAAGTAAGGATTGGGAAAAATAGGATTTAGTATCACTAACTAAGTAGTCACTAACATACACATTAGTATCACTAATGTGGCTTGATTAGATCATGAATTAAATGACTAGTATTTTGCTGGTATTTTCAATAATCATCAAAGTACTGAAAAGTATAATTGACTTTTTTTCCCATAACCCTTACTCAGAGTTTGATAATTATGTTGTCAATGGTTTAAGTGATATTTTTGCAGAATTTCAAAAATGCTGTCCAATAGGAATACACAAGATTTACATTTAACTTTTTCAACATTCCATGCCTGCCTCATGAGACAGTGTTTATGCAACAACAACAGTTTTGAAACTTTACAAAATTAATAATACTTTTATTGCTCAAGCAATAATTTTTACTCATTTACTTGTACAAGTATCAAAACTACATTAAACAAATTACCTGATTTGCCGGTAAACAACATATTGCATATCGCATATTGCATATCATAATTACCATCCTCTTGACCAAAACTTACAGATAAAAAAATACTTCAACATATAATAATTAATTAACTAATAATTAACTTGAGTGTCAGGCGGCATAAAAATATTAAAAATTAACTGAGCATCAAAATAATCGTCCAAGGAATAAAAGCTCTGTTGGCAACACCACGACTTTAACTTCGGTGTATAATTTGCAATATTCCACCATCAATTTATTCCTATAAATTTTATGAAGCAGAAATTTTAAAAAAATGTTTGAAATACCTACTTAATAAATTTTGTAAAGTTATAAATTTTTTGGTTCATAAACGGTCAAACATCTTTGTGGGACACTCTGTATATATTTTCTCTTCAATTTAAGCTGAGGTAGGTATTAGTTTAGTTGGCATGTCATAAACGTGGATTAAGTATCACTTCTCATTGGTAAAGTGATCTAATTTGTATAGTTTTGATATAAAATGTTAATGAAGACTTTTGTTATTGACTAAGATAAAATATTTGTACATTTTTTAATGATTTACAAATGTTTTTTTATTGAATTCTATAAATTCTGTTATTTAGTTTTAAGTTTGACATTATCTTTCTTTTCAGTTAGTCTATGCAATGATAAGTTTCTTAAATGTATACATTTATTTTTATTACCTCTAAGGCCTATAAAATTCTTTTTAAGACCGTTATTTAATTTTAAGAGAAGGCATTTGATAATATTATAACAATAATGACAAAGCAGCTGTACATTTAGCTATAAGCTCTGTGTGTTATGTGCTAATAAACATGATTTGATTTGTTTTTTATATACAGGATTGGCAGTACTGTTTTTTTATATACCAGATAACTTAATACCGTACTGGTAAAGGTATTACAGTATACTCAACTTTGAGCGACACTCATAAAATGAAGTCAAAATATTTACACTAAAAACATTTGCCATAAACATATTAGAACTGGTCATTTTATTTGGGAATTTTAAGACTCAAAATAAGTTGGATGAATCATGAATCATTAGGATTATCCCACAACGAGAGTAAACAATCAAATAACGGTACTTACGTATTAAACGGAGGCCACATATTTTACAGCGCGCTTATGTTAGGTTGGGTTATCATAAATATATGTTTTTCTTTATCAAATTAAACTATCTTAACCTAACCTAACCAACCAAACTTGCTGATGGTGAAGGTTTACTAATCGAATCGAATCTGTAGGTTAGGTGGCCTCCGTTTAATACGTAAGTACCCAAATAACTGGCAAAACAACATGACATTTGTGTTTTTATTATGTACAAAATACTGTCCATCTTCACATGATACATATTGAAAAAAATATTGTAGGGTATGGATTTAAAAATGTCAAGAGAAGTGTCATACCGGTAATGCTTGCATAATGCATATAGTCTTGTGTTTTTATGTTTAGTTTTTTATGGTAAGTTACTCTGTTAAACATTTAACACTACTCCATGGCAAACTTCCAGTGAAACTGGACCACCATAGCTCAACCTACCACTCACACTTTAAACATGTGTTCTGCACTTCTAATAATTTATTTTGTTAGATTATTTTTCAAACTCAACAGGAAGTAGTAGTTAATTTGACAGAATAACAATAAGGAAGCAAGGAAAGATGAGTTTGTAAGGAAGTGTAAAAGAAAATGCAAAAACAAAACAGTAATCACCCAATACAGCCCTAGGGATAGAAACTTGGCATAAGTGGTGAAGAAGATGATATTTACTGTGGAATTTGATGGACAAGATGGTTATGTTATTTACGATGATTGTATAAGATTATTTGCTATTAAATAGCTATTGAAAATTCTATATTGAGAAATCAACATAATCATGGAACTGGATCTCTAAACCTTGTCACAAACACAGCTTACCAACAGTTTTATTGTAAAAATAACACATTTGACATTTGATTTTTCAAGATAAGAGTGTTTTGAACATTCTGTTACAACCTTGCTGTCAAACTTTAGTTTTGATTAGAGAAACATATTAATAAAAATTTGAGTAGCCTACTACTAAAATGTGATTTCAAACAATGATGAGTAATTACTTGCACCTTTTAGCGAATTTCTCAATTAGGGAATAAGCTATTACCGTAGTACTCATGGTAAGACCTGAACCTGGGACCGATTTACTTTTTCCTTTTGAGGTCCCTAGAGGCCAAAAACACCATCTGTTCAAATTTATATAAACAAATTCATATTAATTAGTGTAAATAGGTATATATTTGTCCGTTACCACGATAACTCGAGATAACTAAACTAAATATATAAAAGGCAAAGCCCTCACTGACTGACTGACTCACTCACTCATCACTAATTCTCCCACTTCCCATTTACCTAGGAGGCTGAAATTCGGTACACCGATTCTTTGGGCATTAAATAGGAAAACAAAGTTAATACACCAATACATTGTACTTCTAGAAAGTATTGTTTTCCTCATAATGTTTGAGTTTTGAGAAAAAACCTCATAGCTGTAAAGATTATGATTAAAAATTTAATGCAACTATTGTGATTTTTCCTAATAAATTTCATTCTTTCACTGTTTACCTTCGGTTTGATGACAAGCTAATAGGAGAAAGTATGTGTCAGATTGCCGATACAGTTTATTTTAATTTTACATATTAAATATTAGATAATATTGATAATTTACATTATAATTATTATTTCTCACAGTAAAGCAATTTGCACAATCAAGAAAGTAATTTAATAACAATAATTCAGAGTAGAAAGAAAGAGTACCCGGTATAGAGATTAACTAATATTTCTTTAATCCATTTTCTAATCTTCATTAATTTCATAATCTTCATTCATTGGTAATTGGCAAGATGTGAACCTAAGGACCTTCATAACAAAAGTCCTGAACTGTAACCAGTCACTAGATAACAATGACTTTGATCTTTACATTACATACAAAATTCTATCAGCATATAATTTTTCCTATAAGGCTAAGACAGCCTTGTGGTTATAGTATCCTTTGTCTGCAGGATTCCAAAATCCCTTGCAAATTTATTGCAATCAGAGAAAACATCCTCCTAATCAAGATAGTTTTCACATGTCTCTCACCATTCACCATTTCAGTGCAAAATATTTTCCCATTCTCAAGATTAGCTTTATCAGCAGGCCTGGTAGATTAATGGATTCTAAATTTGCTATCTTTAAGCCTTGATAACTCGTTTGTTTATTTACTTGCCTAAAATCCAAAGTGGTGAATTTTGTCTGCAGTCTACCTCATAAGAGAAAATATAACTATATGAATCCTGCCATCTCGATTCTGTCTATTAACACATACAAATAACTATATATACATTCACTTGGCAATACAGTCTCTCAAACATTAAAAACGTTGTTTTTGTTACACTTGATTTTTTTAGTTTGTGTGTTTGAACTACACAGTACCAATTTTAATTGATTTAACAGAACATTTTGATTTAATAAATATCCTTAGAATTTTAGGAAAAAGATCTCTCATTCTTTGCCTTTAGAAAAATTTGATTGTTTTTTTTATGTAACAGAAAATACAGTTTTACAGTAATTATATGTTCTATATGTTTTACAGTAACTATAAACGTCTTTCCAATTGAATGACATATTGAATATCAAAGAAGATTTCCAACTTGGGAAAAATCAGTAAAAAGCTGTTGAAAATAATCGCAAATGATTTAAGCAAAATAGTGAGTACTTACCAGGATTCTTCATATGTATATGAACTTTTGTGAACATGTATTGTAACTACTCCGGTGTGGAAGCTGTTTTAGTCAGACAACAATGCTACATAGTGCGTGGAACAAGCAACATATTACCTAGTAATCTTTCACTTCCGGAGACCAGCACCATACTTTGGGAATCGACTAAATACATGTAAAAGAGTGAAAATCAGCCGGGAGGCAAGCTTTAAAATAATTAGGTCACGGGCAGTGACGTCATCAAAATGGCCGCTCATCCAATAAAATAATGTCGCATATCTCGGAAACCACGTAACCGATTTTGACGCATGACATCTTATTTAAAAGGTCTAATCATTATCTGTAAAAAAGGTAATTACATCTTTAGGGGTTAAACCAACGGTTTCTTTGTATTTTAGAAAATATTAATTTTTTTCGCCCCACAAAATGGGTTTTTAGATTTATCATTTGGAAAAATTAAAAAAATCTAAATTTACTTTCCACCATTGAATCCAGCTTTAAAAGATGAACAATTTAGTATTTTGAATCATCACTCTATGTATATTGGTTATCGAGTAGTGAGTAATTTAAAGTAGTAAACACAGAACACTCTGTCCCCCATGTTATCCTTATGGAAAAAAACATTCTATATCTCAGTTATTTTTTAACGTATCTTAATACAACTTGGTATGTGGTTTCACCTAGTTGAGCTACTTGATAATGACTGTAAAATATTTATATTTTACATTTACATGGCAGCAAACCTACATACTCATTTCCCATGTTATTCGTATCGCAAATTTTTATGCATGATTATTTATGAACATATTATGTTGACAAAACTTGACGTTGAGCTTAATTTTAATTAATTATCTAAGCATTTGAAATTCACTGAGTATGCAAGTCTACTGCAAAGGGGGTTTTATAAACATTAGTAATTTTATTTTGGGAAATATTTCTTTCCTGGGTTGGTCAGACTGATAACCGACAAGAGATCTGATGGCAATTTGTCGCAATTGTTGAATAAGAAATGTGATAAAATCCTTATTAACGTGTTGTTTTTGTTTCTTTTGAGTTTACATTTTTCTAGTAATTTTCATATGGGGTTTGACGTCTTTTGTGCTTCTTAAAACATAGAAATCGTTGACCAGAAATCGTTCAAATGTACATATGAGTAGTAATAGATTAAGTAAATCACAAAACTGTTTTCCTGTTACAGGTATTAGGTTTTTCAATGCCCTCCCTGGTATTGTCCGTTCCCAGAGGAGATCAAAATTTGTATCCATTGTGAAAAATTGGCTTGAGTTGAACCCATATTACAAATTTGATGAATTTTTTGATGCCATGAAGGCTGCACAAAACTTAAATACTTATTAAGTCATGTCATGTACTTCTACTGAAAGGTATGTTTGTTTGACAATTATATTTTGCATGGTTTGCTGTGTGAAGATTTTGACAGAAGTGCTGTTGTTTGGTTTGCAGTGGATTATTTTATTATTTTGTATGTTTTATTTTTTTTCAGGAAAGACTGAAATATTATTTTTAGATTAATATTTTATGTAAGACAAAGCCTATTGTAATCAACTTAATGGCCGAAATAAATCTTGAATCTTGAATCTTGAATCTTGAATAGTTATTGATCGTTTAGATTTTTAAAGTGGTTACCTGAAGAATCTAATATTCATAGTCATTTTATTTTTGGGTAAAAATCTTTTGGGCTTTTCAAAACATAGTTATGGATTGTTTTTGTGGCTACCCTACCTGAAGCGTATAGAATAAGATATAGGATGTTGGTACGCATTTAAGGCTTTGGAATGTGGATTCCTCACTTAAACATATTAACACGTAGCATTAGACTGTTTATTTAATCTTTGTATTTAACTGAAGAATAGTATGAAATACGGCTTGGCGTCTCTGTTATTTCCCTTTAACAAATTAAAAATTGTATTATATATTTAATGTATATAATACGTGAAGCCGTTTTTGTTAACACTACTACTCCCTTATTTGTGGGCCAATTTCAGCATTTGAGGTGGCAAAAGATTCGTCTTAATTTCTAAGAAAAAACCACGACTTGATATTATATGCTTAGACGAGAATCTCCCCCAGACGAATTCCGAAAATAATTCAGACGGAGGCATGAACTATTTCAAGACAAGATTAAGTTGCACTCCATTTGATATAAAATCCACCTGCAAAATAATAAAATTTGCATACTCAAAGAATTTCAAATACTTCGATAATTAATTAAAACTACGCTTAACGTCAAGTTTTGGCAGCATATTGTTGTATGAAGTGTTTAAGAAGGCCAAGTTTGGGTTATGTAATATGGGCTAAAACACCAAAGCACCGAGGAATGGTGCTCAGTGACCCGAGGGAAAAGTACTGAGGGAAAGTGATTAGGGAAAAGTGCCCAGTACTTTCGGCCGGGGGCGGATACTGGGTACTTACCCCCACTCTCCAAGCATCTTACGAGTTACGACCCTATATAAGGAGCATTCTTGGGGGACTTCAACATGTTGGACCTCCGGGCCCGACCCCGTCGGTAGGCGCCACCGGTGGGGTATGCACTAGAAGCGTGTTGAGCCTCGGCGCTCCCAATACTAGAGGCGTGCTAAAACCCGGTACACCCCAGTACTAGAGGCGTGTTGAGCCCGGTACACCCTGCACTAGAGGCGTCTTGAGCCCGGTGCAGCTTTTTGGCGTCTTGAGCCCCGGCATCCGTTTTATTTCAGTTTAAGTCCCCAGTGGCCAAAAAAACTGCCTCCCGGGACCATGGATCCGTCTGGAGGGGGATGAAGAGGCCCACCTCCACTATTTAAGAAGAGAAAGAGTTGTCTGGGAGAGACGGCAGCGGGCAGTCTGCATCTGCCAACGGAACGGGCAACACCGACGGTAGCTGCTGCGTTTGGAGTAGTAACCCACTCAGCATTTTCCGAGACGGAGCCAGTTGGAGGACTGCAGGAACCGTGTCGATAGGACTTCTGTGAGTCACTACGACGGGACAGCGTCAGGAAGGAGAACCAACGTGGGGAACCCAGGACAGCAAAACGGGACGGAGGGGTCTCGAGCCGATTGACCAAGACGTCAAGGGACCGCCTAATAGATTGCCCTGGTCTGTGGGGTTTCGAAGTAGAAGTCATTTGTCAATAGTTTTTGTAAACAGTTCTGAGAATAATAAATGTATCATAATTCCTACAAGTGTTCAGTCAATCTGAGTCCCGAAAACTTCCGAAAAGGTCTAAAACTGTAAAGTAAGGAAAAGCTGAGAAAGTACAGTAGGTACAATGTTCATAAATAATCATGCATAAATATTCACCATATGAATAATATGGGAAATGAGTATGTAGGTTTGCTGCCATGTAAATGTAAAATATAAATATTTTATAGTCATTATAAAGTAGCTCAACTAGGTGAAACCACATACCAAGTTGTAATAAGATACGTTAAAAAAAATAACTGAGATATAGAATGTTTTTTTTCCATAAGGATAACATGGGGGACAGAGTGTTCTGTGTTTACTACTTTAAATTACTCACTACTCGATAACCAATATACATAGAGTGATGATTCAAAATACTAAATTGTTCATCTTTTAAAGCTGGATTCAATGGTGGAAAGTAAATTTAGATTATTTTAATTTTTCCAAATGATAAATCTAAAAACCCATTTTGTGGGGCAAAAAAAAATTAATATTTTCTAAAATACAAAGAAACCGTTGGTTTTACCGCTAAAGGTGTAATTACCTTTTTCATAGATAATGATTAGACCTTTCAAATAAGATGTCATACGTCAAAATCGGTTACGTGGTTTCCGAGATATGCGACATTATTTTTTTGGATGAGCGGCCATTTTGATGACGTCACTGCCCGTGACCTAATTATTTTAAAGCTTGCCTCCCGGCTGATTTTCACTCTTTTACATTTATTTAGTTGATTCCCAAAGTATGGTGCTGGTCTCCGGAAGTGAAAGATTTTTACACTTGTTCCACGCACTAACAGCTCAAGGAACTTTTCTAAAAAAATAAAAAATAATAATAGAGTTGTTATTTATAAAAAATTAAATATTGTTACAGATGTGGGCTCCATGGCAGCAATGGCTGGTGTGGTTAGCCATTCGTCCTGTTGTCGCCGTGTTCTGGACGTTGTCTCACATCTTGTGTATATTTCACCGAACAAATACGCTACCTCCAGTCTCCAGCCAGTTGTTGCTCTACAGTGCGTCCGATCTCGCCAGGATGGTCAGGAGTAGAAAGGTAAAGGATTGAAAAAGCTTAAGTGGATATCGACGAGGCATGGTATGTTTTTTTTCCTCTCGTATCTACGCCAGTGGCAGTTTTGCAATGAATTCAAACACTTTTAAGGGAAAGCGGTCCAAACCCATTCAAGTTTTGTGAACAGATTTTTAACTTTCAGGCATCTTGAAAACAAGGTGATTTTTTCCAAACACAACCCATAAATTACAAATACAGAGAGTGACTGTTTAGGGACATAGTAAGCTGATAACTTGGCACCCCTGATTACCTGATAAGGATTGTTACATTAATTGATATCTACACGATTTAGAATTATTTGGAATTTTTATGAATAAGAATCAGCATGGTTTTTTTTTACAAAACCCATAAGATTAATAGACTTCTGGGGAAAAAGTAAGTATTGTGCTGTATTAATTTATCTTTAAATTTATCATATTCTGTAGGCTTTTTGATTCACTAGGTACTGGAGTCTCACCTGGAAACTGAATTGCAAACCTTTCTTGATTTATAACAAACTATACCATATTGTACAATATTTCCACAAGTTTAAAGTCGAGTTGAGCAAGACATGTAATGGCAAGGCAAGGATGGCTTCAGAAATAAGAAGAATATTTTATTTTATTTAAACAATGTAAATTTTAAGTTGCATTGCAAAGTAGGAGCAAGCGGTACAAAACAATTGACCTTGAATGTGTTCTTCTATACAATTATATAAGCTTTGAGCTTGCGAAAATGTAATATTGTGGGTTATTTACAATAAATTCCAAGTAACACTAAACATACAAACAACAATGCAACACTGCTAATCAGCTGATCGGCAATGAAGTAAATAGAGCAGGATTGCCAACCTGTGAGCTTGTTTGTCTCTAACAGCGACTCTCTATATTTGTACCGTAATTAATTTTGGTTGCATTTTATAAAAAACACCCAGTTGTTTAGTTGTCAGCTGAACTGCAGCGTGATAGTTTCCAAAACTACAATTTTCATAAAAAATGGAAAGAAATATCCATATACGTCCCAAAATATGAAAATACTTTAGAATCTTCAGGTATGGGTCGCCTTTGTGTCTCACATAAGTTTCTTAAGGCATCAGTTTAGCTTGCATGAAGTAACAAGAAAATATCAAAGTATGAAGTTTATGCATGTTATATTGTTGCATTGCTTTATGATATATTGTTTCAGGTCCATTGCCAAGATATAATACAAGCATATGTAACCAGAATAAAGGAGGTGAACCCCATCATCAATGCAGTGGTGCAGTCTAGGTTTGACCAGGCATTGGAGGAGGCTAAGAAGGTACAATATAATAGCCTACACATAGGTAACAATAATATAGGCATCGGTACAGTATAATATATGTTTTCAACCATACAGCCTCCAAGTTTCATTCACAAGTATCTGTTTTTCATCCTTGTTTTTATTACATTTTGTTTTATATCTAAATCCACACACTTATTTAGCTTATTTTCTCCCTATTCAGATCACAATATTATGACTACAGTTGTTAAATAAAATATACTACATTTAGGATATTGAAATTTTGCTCAATCAAATAACATCTCATATAATTTTTGCAAATTTCATTTAGATATAAATAGTTGTACGGAAAATGTTATATCCTCACTTAACTTAGGTACCGGTATCAGTAAAACTAAACAATAATAATTCTATAAACATTGTAAAAGGGAGTTTAAATCTTACAACCACCATTCCATACCTCCCAAAATGTTCATGCAATACTCCTGGTTGATAATTTTACCTTGGGTTTATTGGTTTATTGAACACATTTGTTATTTCAACATTCAGTCATCGTTTTATCACCAGATTTTCAATCATCACAAACGAAACAAACTCACTTTGAAATAAACGTATAATTCATGGATAAATTAACAGCACCAACATAACCAGTAACAAATACAGCTGATAAAGTACCGTAGTTAAGGATTTAATCGGAGGAGGAGGACATTTGGATTTGGAATTCTAAAACAAATTGTAATAACAGATTCCTTTATTTGTACAGATTGACGCCATGTTGGCAGAGACGTTATGTACTGAGGAAGAATTAGCCAGGGACAAGCCATTGTTGGGAGTACCTATAACAATCAAGGAGAGTATACCAGTCAAAGGTATGAATGTGCTTGTGCTATGATTGTTCCATTACAAGAAACAGACATAGTTAGTACCTTTCACCATATATATCTACTATTGTGAATTAGGTATCTCATCCCCATGATGACATTTTTGCCAGTTTCAGATCAATAAGGGTTTATGCAAGACTGACGATAAATTTGCAAGTGTAGACCAGCCTTTCATTATAATATCTCCTGAAAAATTAACGAATAGCTATAAGTTAGATTGCGTACTAAAATATAATGATGCACTAAAATAACACACTAAATACTATTAACAAAAAAAAATAATTAATTGAGGGTTAACTACTTGCAAAAAGATAGAATCTTTTTGAAGTGAATTTGTTGCTAAATTCTCTACACAGATTACGGATTAAATTCTGCTGGAAATGAATTCTAGCACCACTCACACTGTTTCTTTTCCACCGCATATAACAAGCACCCGAGCTCGAGCTGGAGGTTTGTTTATAGCTGTTTAAAATTCAATTACCTCTTACTGTCAGATGATCTGCATTTCTAACAACAGACAGAACAAACCAGCATTATAAATACCCCTGCAACAGTGTTCCTGCAGATTAAGTGAATTTCCATTTGCTTGATCGGATTTTCACTAAAATTATTTCTTGAAATATGTCACATATATTCTCTATTTAAATCACCATAAGTTTAACGAGTAGCCAAGTTTGTTGCTACATGAAAGGTAATATAGTTTGGTTTTACTAAAATTTATTTATAGCTTAGAATAAAATAAATAAATATTGAAAATTTTGATCAAAATATTCATAAACATGCTACTGTGCATCAATTTACTTATTCTCCATGTTAAAATTTTTTAGAAATTTCTGTGCAAACATTTATACTTTAAAACAACGCTTCAACAAATTATTTTCCCTACAGACACCCGACAAAGTGGGCTTCCTTGCACAGATTATAGTACAGAAAGCCATACTTTGGCGCAGAGTTTTTTCTTTGCCGCACACCACTATTCCAACCAAACAACACAAATTAACAGCATACTTTTATTATACAGGTAATCCGTGTACGCTTGAAAATAAGTTGGCAACACTTAAAAATATTACGACTACGATCAGCTGGTGCAGCATTTCCCATTTCGTTCAATGTTTGGATTTAACCTAATCTAAAAACTTATTGTACAGTGTTTTGAAAGACTAATTATTTATATGCTTTATAGTAACTGTAGGAAAAATATAATGTGTAACACGAATGAGTCAAAAACTAAACCTACCTATTTTTTGTTGCCTATTGTTTTAGAAGTCCGGTCATGCTGGTTCGCATACTAGTTATTTACTATGAGACTTACGGTAATAGTGTATTCCCTATATGGGAGATTTGCTAATAGAGGCTGACGTATGTGTGTAGGTATGAGCAACAACGCTGGTGTACCCAACAGGTCCAGAGTTGCTAAAGAAGACTCTGATGCGGTGGCTAGACTGAGGACTAGAGGAGCCGTAGTTCTCGTTGTGTCCAACACGCCAGAGTTGTGTCTGAGCTGGGAGACGTACAACCCTGTGACGGGGAGGACCAACAACCCTTACAACACTGCGAGAACATCCGGGGGCTCCTCAGGTGGAGAGGTTTGAACAATTTGTTCTTGGTTCTTGGTTTTGGTTTGGTTCTTGGTTGGATTCATTCTTTGTAAGGATCATTACAAGTCCTGTGATTGTCTACATGGGGACATGTGGTGTCTGTTCTCTACTGTTTTACAGAATTGTTTCTTTAGACCTTCAAAATTAAACTTCAATAGTGATCTTGCCGTTCTTGCATTTGAAATTCCCTGACAAGAGTTAAGATGTTGTCCAATGACAAAAGGAAGTCTACTTCTGTTATTTGTATTCAGTCAATTAAAAAATAACTTTATTAGCATTCAGTGTAACACATTTAATGGAACATTCCAGCAAAATTTTCCATTTTATCTTTGACATGAGCAAACTCGGATTTTACTAATTGCATTGTTTCCCCAACACAATAACAAAAACAACAATTAGATGTTGTATGACATCATCTCACAGAAATATATGAAATAATCGTTATCGTATTAGTTAAAGCTTTCTCAAATAAATTAATTAGTGAATAGAGTAAATAAACAACACATGAATGATTCAACAAACTACATTAGATGGGTTTTGTACTGTACCTTATTTATTTGTGATATGTTGACAGAATCTTTCTCTATTTTTATTCTAAATGTGATTTTTAATTTACATTTTAGTACTAGGTTAAGCATAAATAACACTCACAAACTGACAAACTTCAAATAATTTACCAAAACAAGCTTTGTCCCTTAAAATTAGTAGTTTGTACAGTACAATCCTTATTTTTTGGAAAAATTGGGACAACAATAAACACGTTATGTGTAAATTTAATATATTATTGTAGTATACCTTTGACTTTTGTATAGGTACTGAAATAGACATCCCATCTATATGGACCAGTGGTACGCAATTCTTTTTTTGATAAAAGAAAAACATAGATGAATGAGGCAGCCACTATTGTGCTAGTGACTAAAACTCTATTCTCTTCTTCGTTATCTTTTGTTACCACTGAGATAGTTGATGTTATATGAAAGAAGGTTACAATAAGTCATCCTATTGATTACCTTGGTAAAAAAATCTGCATATGCGAAATGCGATATAAATAAGGAAGAACTTATGTAAGCGCAATCTATCATTGCCTCACTTCAACTTCGTCCAATTTGGTCAAAATATTAACGACAACTTTAATCAAACGACTCAATGAGTCAATTACTATAATAAGTAGTAAAAAAAAAGTGAGTAGTGGTACGTGCGAATCATACACAGAGAAACGTCTAATCCATACAAAGTTTGTATCAAGCAGATTCGAAGATAATCTAGTGTTATGTATTTGTAATATTTATCTTCATAAAGGCCTAACATTTTATCTTTACTCTATCCTCCTAATACATAGGTAGCATTTAGATAAATAGTATTGTTTTCGTCAACATTTTTTTGTGTTGGGTGGAAACTTGTTTTGGAAATTCCTTCTAAACCCAAAAAAGGGGTTTTCAAAGTGATGTCTGTATTTACTTCAACAGTTTTTGCAATTTTTATGATTTTAACAAAAGCCTATAACATTTAATAAAATCCACACCTGTAATCCATTTTTCATGAAATTTGTTATGTTTAAGGTATCTTTCAGCACTATTTCCCCCTTTAAGTTACCTATTATAATTGTTTTGAATTTTTTGCCCGTGAAAGTAGTTAGGATGTTCAATTTTAATGTCAAGCTAATATATTAAAGTATGTGTCAGTTTGCTGACAGTTTATTTATTTATGCTACTGTGTGCAGGGAGCTCTGCTGGGTTCAGCTGCCTCAGTTATTGGTTTGGGTTCTGACATCGGAGGTTCAGGTCGGGTTCCAGCCAGTTTCTGTGGAGTGTTCGGCCACAAACCTTCCTCAGGTAAAATTAAGTAAAGGATCAATTTTATTTCAATTTATTGTAGATTTTAATATTAGGTTTACCTATATTTGGTTTAAAAATCTGTACTGTATAACTCACTGTACCTATCCGAGATTTGTTAAGATTCTCCTCAGGATATGTGTTTATAGCACCTATTTTTCACTCTTGTCCACGGAGGTCCTGACATGAGTCAAGGATTATTTGTATTTGAATTTTTAAATGGTTGTGCTTAATATTTTTTTTATTATTTTTTATGTGAATACAGGTGATATCTAGGAGTTTGCTTCACTTTCTATGAGTGAAGCAAATGCCCCGCTGGGTTGTTTCTTGCTCTGATCATCCAGCTTTTTTCGTTCATACTAAACCATGGCCCAACATCTGATATGAAAAATGAGCGGTACTTATAATTTTTCTACTGGTCGTTTAATAAGGGGTTCTAGTACTGTAACTGGCAAACAAACAAACAAATTTCTCCGCAAAAGAATTCTTAAAATTGAATGGGTTTTGGTAGTAACTTTAGTAATCATAAATAAATAAATGTTTACACTATAATTTTTGCATTAAGCAAGATGGATGGATTGGATGGACAACAAAAATGATTTCACGTGAAAAAGTCCCTATTAATTGGCAAAAACTATTTTAATATGTGTTGTGTTGTGAACTTTTTGTATGCTTCCAACTACTAGTTACTCATTTTATAGTTAGGTAAGTTAGTTTATAAGTTTACCTAAGACAAAGCGTTCAGGAAAAAAATCAATATAAAAAAAATTGTCACAAGTAGTAGCAAAACTGCAGCGTGAGAAAGTGTTTAGTAACAAACGTACTGTTTATTTTATTTAGAAAATAAATGTTTGTATGACTTTGCAGGTTACATAAATGCCAAGGACCACATGCCTACATCCGAGGACCCCCTGTGGCCCAAAGTGTTTGTGTTTGCTCCGATGGCGAGATACTCCGAGGATTTGCCACTGTTGTACTCTTCCTGTGTAGAAGATGAGAACAGACTGAAGGAACTGAGACTGGACGAACCTGTAAGTGTACAGCTTTGGGTCATAACGTATAAAACTAAAATAAACCGTATCAGCAATCTGACATATACTTTCTCCCACTAGCTTGTCAACAACCCTTAAGGTAAGTAGCAGGAGTAACTATGATTTTTTATGTGGAACACCCATCTAAATATATACTTATACAAATTTGAACAAATAGTGTTTTTGGCCTCTGTGGACATCAAAATGAAAAAAGTAAATTTGTCCTGTAATTCAGTTAATTTGTGTTTTTACCAAGAAAGTTTTGGGGTAGTTTTTATTTTTTCCATTTCTTATGTATTTTGGGGTGCTGAATCCGAATCTGAGGTTTGCCAACAAAAATTCTTGACGCAACATTGACAAAAATGAGAAAAATATGGAAAAAATTATATTTTTTTTTATTTTTAGCTTATAACTCAGAAACTATCAACTTTTCGTTATTAGTCTATATTATAAAAATTAAAGTACACAAAATTTGCTACAAAATGTACCCCTAATGTGGTAATCTCCCATGAACCGTTTAGGCTCCAGAGCTATTTGAAAATTGGAACATTTTGTGTTAGTTTTTAAATTTCTCCAATTATTCTGTCAATGACATATATTCATTGTATATGCCCAGGCAAAGGTCCTATATAAATCCAAAGTGTTAAAATTGATTAATTTTTGTGTTACTAAACCGTTGATTTTTTAATTAGTGTACAGAAAAGTTACACGAACTGTTGCCGTTTAAATTATCCTCGCTCAGAGGGTTGTAATGAAGCAGGTTCTGGCAAACGTTTCGATGCATTATTTGTGAGCATTCTAGCTTGTTCATCTGGAAAATTAAAAAAAAGTTAAAAGTAAAAATAAATTTTTACACATAATAATAAGTAATACCAAAATCAAAATTATCAAAATTAAAATAACAGCAATCTGTTAATCATATAATATCGTATGCACCTGATGACGTGATAATAAGATATACGTAAATAATAAAATGTTATGTAGGCATATACTGTTGCTAAGCATTTATATTGTTTGTATATTTAAAAACTTAATAAATAAAGGAATGTGCGTTTGGTACTATACTTACTTTCTTACTTACTTAGACTCTAGCATCACAGCCCATTGTACATCCTCAATGGTATTGGCACCCATTATACAATTTTCTGTGTAAAATTTCAAGACCGTCGCATGGCTTAGAGTGATTGGCACTGTTACCATAGGCCGATACTAATTTTTTTACCCCCATTCATTCACCCGAATGTAAATGTAAACTCTAAGCGAGTTATGTCTACGCAGCTGCTTGAGTTGGGGGCAGTGAGGCAATGTTGGATTTAGTTTTCTAGCCAAAATTCTTATTGATTATCTTAAGTCAATTAACCCTTACCACTCTCATGTAGGCCTATGCCCTACGCCCTAGGACCTACAATCTATCAAATTTACACACAATGTAAATGCTTAGCAACAGTATATGCCTACATAACATTTTATTATTTACGTATATCTTAATATCACGTCATCAGGTGCATACGATATTACATGATTAACAGATTGCTGTTATTTTAATTTTGATTGTATTGATTTTGGTATTACTTATTATTATGTGCAAAAATTTATTTTTACTTTTAACCTTTTTTTAATTGTCCAGGTGAACAATCTAGAATGCTCACACATAATGCATCGAAACGTTTGCCAGAACCTGCTTCATTACAACCCTCTGAGCGAGGATAATTTAAACGGCAACAGTTCGTGTAACTTTTCTGTACACTAAATAAAAAATCAACGGTTCAGTAACACAAAATTAATAAATTTTAACACTTTGGATTTATATAGGACCTTTGCCTGGGCATATACAATGAATATATGTCATTGACAGAATAATTGGAGAAATTTAAAAACTAACACAAAATGCTCCAATTTTCAAATAGCTCTGGAGCCTAAACGGTTCATGGGAGATTACCACATTAGGGGTACATTTTGTAGCACATTTTGTGTACTTTAATTTTTATGATATGGACTAATAACGAAAAGTTGATAGTTTCTGAGTTATAAGCTAAAAATTACAAAAAACATAATTTTTTCCATATTTTTTTCATTTTTGTCAATGTTGCGTCAAGAATTTTTGTTGGCAAACCTCAGATTCAGATTCAGCACCCCAAAATACATAATAAATGGAAAAAATAAAAACTACCCCAAAACTTTCTCGCTATGAGTAAATTTAAATACAAATTTACTGGATTACTGGAGCTAGGTCTTACCATGCCAACCTAATAGCTTCTTCCCTAATAGGGTAAATTTGTTTCTGTAATAGTATAGTTTTTTGTGTAAGTAGTGCGTGAAGTAGCTTTTTGCTGCACACGAGAGAAATGTTTACGGACCAGCCGCAGGCGAGTGTGGAGAGTTTCTCGAGTGCAGCAAAGGCAGTTTGCACTCGTGTTACACATTATATTTTTCCAACAGTTACAACTCATAGAAATAATTAGTCTTTCAAACACTGTACAACACGTTTTTAGATTAGGTTAAATCCAAACATTGAACGAAATGGGAAACGCTGCACCAGCTGATCGTAGTTGTAAAATCTTGAAAATAAGTGTTGCCATCTTATTTTCAAGCGTATGCGGATTACGTGCATAATAAGAGCATGCTGTTTTGTGTTGTTTGGTTGGAATACTGGTGTGCGCCAAAGTAAAAACTATGCGCTTTAAAGTAAAAACCGTGCGCCAAAGTAAGGCTTTCTGTACTATAATCTATGCAAGGATGCCCACATCGTAAGGTTAACTGAAGAAAAAATCATGTATTTTCTTCAAACAGTTGAATCTTTGTATTTCATTGTTATGGTGAAAGCCTATGAAGGTAGTTCTGTGTTCTTAACTATTGTACTGTACCATGCCACACTACTTTACATTTGATCTTGTTTCAGGTAGATTTGAGGAAGGTGAAGTTTTATTACATGGACAGCGATGGTTCTAAGATAACCAGTAGTGTTTGCGGGGATGTGAAAGCAGCTCTCAACAAAACCATAGCCCATGTAGAGAACTCTCTAGGAGTGAAAGTGGAAAAGGTAAAGTTGTAAAGTGCAATGAATGATTCATTGGTTGGTTAAGTGAAACCTCGAATGTATCTACTGTTATCGGTAAAGTAAAGAATGTAATGGTTAAAATAAAATATGTACTTGTAGACACCGTTGAATCAGATATGAAAGTGTGTCTCCTTTTGCCCTTTTGATGTCATAGCTACAAACTGCCCAAGGTCACGCCCTGCTTTGATTATCATATGTTTGTCAACTCAACCGTATCAATAAACGTTTTACAGAACCGTCATTTTAACATTTTGTATACCAGTTCTAAATTTAGGATGTGAGTCCAAATGAAAATCATCCTCGCTAAAATGGATGATAAACTAAAGTAAATTACGAAATTCTAGGTAAATTAAAACTTAAAGTTCTGTTTCATTCTAACTCTTTACTCTTTCTTGTCTTTAACTATGCACCTTTTGTGTCTCATCCGTCTGTTGTATACTCAAAGGGTTTAATTATGTAAGTAAAGTGATTTCTTCTTTTCTCCTAATTGCAGATGAACATAGATGAGTTCAAACACACGGCTCAACTATCCTGCATCATGCTGTTAAGGATGAAAGCATGTCACACGATATTTCAAAAGTCGGAAGATAGTATAACTGTGGGTACAAATTGTTTTTTTTTTTTATGAAACTAAGCAATATGTTTATAGTAAAAGATATTTAAATTTTTAAAGAAAAAAGTGTTATGAGAGTGGAGCTTGATACATAACTGTACTTATAAGTAGGAGTTGCTGATGAGCTGCTCTCAAGGAAATGTGCTTTAGCAATTGAGTTTTTATTTTAATTTTTACTCAGGGGAGTTGAAATATTATGGCAATGCGTCTTGTATATCTGAATGAAATATTATTGATCAAGTGGAAGGTGAATGGAAGGGTTTCACCTCAGTGTGAGACCAAGTGTTGAGTTGCTTATTTATTTTTCTAGATATAAAATCTTGAGACTTAAATTTTGAGGTTCAGAATTCAATTCTTGAGCTGAGTTTATACAGTTAATCTCGATAGTTGGCTACTGCTGATCAAATAGTTTGAGTAAACTGATAATATTAATTGAGAGAACTTTGAGAACAACAGTTTTATTTATTCCAACAAGAAGTAAGACCAAAACAACACACAACAATAGTTGGACTCTTTAATTTAGAACATAAAAGATATATCTAACGCTCCTTTCACACTATACGGTTTTCGCCGTACTGATAAAAACCGTACAAAAGAAGAGAGCATGAGAGCTTTCACACTACACGGTTATGGCGGCGGCAGTAAACCGTCTCACAGCCACTGAACCGGACGGTTTTCGCGCCATGGCAGTGCGTCACTGATGTATTTAGCTATAAATGCAAGCTTTCATACTATAGTTTGGCCGCTTAGAAAACGACCTGCACGCTAATGCTAAACCAATGCTGTAGGAGGTCCCTTTCTAAGCGGCCGGACTATACACAGTTTTTTAACGAACAGCAGCCCACCAGCAAGTGCAAATATATCAGCTTTTGCAATGTTTATTGTATAGAATCTGACCTGTCAATTAGACACTGTTTATGTTTATTGTGATTTTGTAAACACAATTATCTTGATGTAGAGTCAGAAACCATGTATGTGGAAGAAACTTTGGACACGACGTAAAATCATATTGTTTTAAACTGGGCGATGGAGATATTATGAAAGGAGCGTTAGAGAGACACAGATCAAATAGTTTGAATGACTTAAATAGAGTAGTTACTGAACAAAGTAAATGTATGCGTGTTTGTGTTAAAAGAGACATTGAGCAAAATGTAGTATACATCAGCTAATATATCTTCCCTATACTAAGATTAATTGACAAAATGACACAATTTAGGAATTTATAGCTGTTAGACCTTCTGGTCTGCCGTTTTCCTTAATAGAATTTCATGTTGCTCTAACTCATTTCAGGTTATGAGAACTCTGTTATCTAATCCTGTTGAAACTTGCCAAGCTAATTTACTCTGTTGTTGTAGGAGTGGAAGAGTGTTTTGTGGCAGTGGATACTTTGGTTTTTATGTCTTTCACCTCATACACTTCATGCTCTTATTTATGGAGCCATGAAGAAGTGGTTTGCAGACGTATATTCGGAACAAGAGGCTTGCCGCATGGATGAGTGCAAAGATCTCATCTTTCAGAAACTAAATGTAATACTATAACTTTTATAAGCAAACAATAAGTCAATTTTTGAGAGCTGCATATTTTAAATCTTTTATTTCTGTAAACAATATTGTGGCTGTGTGATAAATCATAGCATTTAAGGGTTTGTTATGAAAAGTAACCTATTATTTAATACAACTATCATCTATGGTTCAAAAACTTAAAAGTGCAAAATTTATAGGGACTTAAAAAAAAATCAGTTAATTAAAAGATGTAACAAAACCAATGTATGAAATGTGAAAAAGTGCGGTACTTCACTAGAATCCCACTACCACAATCTAATACTTTGTCAACCCGTGCTATCTTAAGTGTTGAATAAGAAAGAATGTATTTTTCTTCAACCTACTCTCTGAAGAAATCTTATATTAGCCACAAATGCTATCTATTAGCCCTTAGAGTACATCTAAGGTATATGAGTTCTATCCTGTAAAAACATTCCTTACTTAAGTGTTGAAAGCTGAATAAACTTGTACATACTCCTAACTATTCAGGCTGGTCTTTAGTAGTTTTTAAATTATTACTTTTTTACGCCTCTCAATCTATTCCACAATGTTTGCACATGCCTATAGTGTCTAGTTGCAAATTAGACCCTTTTTGCAATGCTGAGTTTTGAAACAATAATGTTATTTGCAGGACTGCCTTGGAGACAATGGAGTTCTCCTGTACCCCGCATTCCCTGATCCTGCTCATCTACACATGCAGATCTACTTTAAACAGGTCAACGCTGCGTACTTGTCATTCTTCAACCTAGTAGACATGCCAGCCACAGCTTTCCCTGTCATGCTCAACAGCAAAGGACTTCCTGTTGGACTGCAGGTTGGCTAACTTGGTATTCATCATACTTAACATTTAGATATCTTCGGCGATTAATTACTCTTCTAGCTCTTTTCGGAGAGAGCTGGTGTAGTGGTAGGGCACGGGACTTTGGTCTCTGATGTCCCACGTTCAAATATTGCCAATCACCAATGGATTTTATGTTTCATGATGTATTACCCTGGATCAAGATATTGATAGATTTAAAAAGTTTAGGTTAACTGTTGTGTTAATTGATCATTGATCCTTTTAGTGTTATAGATAACTATAGTCGGGACCACGTAAGTTTGCAGTTGAGGGAGGAGCCTATTTACCACGTGACTTTGAAAGAGCCAATGAGGACAGTGCGGTGTTGCCAAATCCAATAATACCAGCTGATGTGACAATATTGTTTTAGTATTAATTAGTGTCGTCAACGGGCGGTATGGCAACGTCGCACTAGACTTGTCTTGTGATTGGCTGCCGTCAACTGCAAACTTACGTGATCCCGACTCTACATCTTTTTATAGTACTGGTAAGAGCACATCCAGTGGTACATTGAGCTACGGCCCCCTGCACTACACGTGGATGGTGAATCATAAATATCTCCTTGCATTCATGTAGACATGATCATCGTCTCCCGCGGTCAAGGAAACTCGTCATCGTTTTCCGTGATCGTTGCAATATCTTGTTCAAAATCTTTCATCTTGAAGACATCATCATCGTCTCTCGCGGTCATGGAAACAACGTCATTTTTGCCGCAACTGTGGTAAATTCATGGATATATTCTTCGGTTTTAAAGACATCATCTTCATCTTTCACAATCACGGGAACAACGTCAAAATCATCTTTTTCCACTATTGCAGTAAAATCATGAATATATTCTTCGGTTTTGAAGACATATCATCGGTCTCCAGCGGTCACTGAAATGACATCACCTTTTTTCGCGATTGTGGTAAGCGGTGGCAGTCAGACCTCAGTGCTCCTTGGACATCGGTGCCCCCTCGAGCTGCAGGGTTGCGGGGGTGTTATTTATGCCACTAAGCACATCTTCAGGTTATGAACATTAAAAAAATTTGTATCTACAATATAATGCCACGACTCTCTACACTAGTTTTAAGTAGTGTTTAAAACGGTTCCAGGCTAGAGCCAAGCGTCTTAGGATGTGAAGGTGGTCATGAAAGAAAAATCTAGCATACAGTCAGTGACTGATTTACTGCTGGCCTAGGGCTGTAGGCAAAAAGGGGCCGTAGCGTTTTGTACAAAAACATTTTTTTGAACAAAAATTGAAAGTTTACTTTATTATTAACTTACCATGATCATGGGTGACGATAATGATGTCCCCCTGTTTTTGAAGAGGTTCACGATCCCACCGAGATTGCTGGTGATGATATCTATATGTGATCGCAGAAGATGTTCACTCTTTCTCTGTGATCACGGGGGACAATCTCCCTGTGATCGAGTGAGATGTTGGCAAAATAACATCCAACATCATGTGAGATATTTGGCAGTAACAATAGTAGCTATATTGCCTTAGACAAATACTCTAAGAAAAACACTAAAATTATTTTAGAACAAAAGTTTTATTCCATAAGAAAACAAAGGAACAATAATTAATCATGTTAATATTTTTATGAGCTTAAATATATGTGTGTTTGTGTTAAAGACAGACCAAAGAAAAACAATTTTATAGGAAGATTATTTATTAGGTACAGGTATAACATAATTGGTAGATCTTCTACTGTAGTCTTCCATAGATTGCTTGTCTTTACGCCGTCCAAGTCCTGAATACAGTTTAAATCAATATTTTGTTTACTTTCTTTAGTAGAGTAATTTATGTACAACCATTTTATGGGAGATTTTCTAAAAGGATCCTAATTTGATGTGTTTCCATTTTCAGGCTGTGGCAGGTAGGGGTCAGGATCGTCTGACTTTAGCAGTCGCTCGTGAGATGGAGAAGGCATTCGGAGGATGGGTTCCTCCCACCGGGACAGATATGATGGAAGTCAAATCATGACCGGAGTAGAAATGGAATAAAATCTTGTAAATCATAAATGATGAAGCTAAGTGCTGTGAAGAACATAAAACTTTACCATCATTCAAGACGACATTTCATTGAAGTTTATACAACGTGAAGTGAGGCATGAAAAATATTGTGAGGAGTAATAAGTGTTAAATTGATCGCAAGTGATTTGTATTGACTAGCACATAATTCTTGGATGATTGGCAGCAAGTTTATGAAATGACTGCCGTAAGCTAATGTGGTAGTATGTTGTAATATAGTAAAATAACAAAGTGATCATCTGTGTAGTGCAACCACATCACATTTCTAAGGCCTAAAACTTTAATGTATTTTATTAAAAAAAAATTGAGTTTTACCTTTTTTAGATGCTACTGTGTTGCATCTATCAATAATAGGTATAAAGACTAGCACAGTTTGATTGATGCATATTTATCCAACTAAATTAATAAATTATTGATACATGTCTCAGGAATTGTGGAACTGTATAGTTTTATTATTTACTATTATTGTTCAGATTAAACTAAAAGAATCATTTACTTTCGGAGGTTAAGTTTAGAAATGCAAAATATCTAATAAGCATTTGATATTCACTTTTTTAGTTTTATAAATGGACTTGATAAAGTTAAAACATTGAAGTATATCTGCATTCTATTTTCATACCTGAGCAGTTCAAATAAAACTACCAAGGAATATTCTATTGAGAATCTAACTTTCCATGTCTTATATAAGTACCTACTTCTTTCATGAGATCTAATTTACTATACTATTAAGTTCTACTAATTTTTGTCTTTTGGTAACCTGTGGTACCAAGGATGATGAACATAAAAAAAACACATTTTAAATCTTTGCAGTATTTATTTACAATATTGCTAATACAAAAGTGTAAAATCAATGTTGAAAGAATAGTACTATTGTATTTACAGTTCTTCAACATTTTCATACAAAATGTGTAAGATAATCTGAACAGTGACCTTGTAAGATGTATTTTTATCGAATGTACAATAATCTTTTACATTTTTCCTATTTGAACTTATTAGGTAGCTTACAACAACATGAGTTTTTACAAATATTGTGACACTTTTCTACCAGTCTACAAATAAATACGAAAATAGATAACAAAGTTGTAAGTTGTTCCGTTTTGTTTGAACATTCCAATTCTGTAAAACTCACTATCTGTGTCCATTCTAACTGAATAGAGTTTTAAGTAAACACATAGCAAGACATGGACGGTAACAATCATATATCCACAGCCAAATATCACCTCTTATCAGTTGGTCCCTGCGAAAATTAGGTTTCAGAAATTTTTTTCTGAATCCACAACAAAAGTTGTTTGCAAGTCTACGTATGTCAAGCTCCTTGAACAACTCGTTTATCTGTCGTGTCTTCTCCCTTGGATGCTTGAAGGGGGGAGGGTGGGGGAACCCATCCTCCGAAAGCAGATTCTAGCTCCTTAGCGACGGCAAACACTAAACGATCTTGGTGCTTGTTGGCAGCCACCTACAACAAATTTTGTTATGAGAAACAAAGCAGCATGTGTCTCAAAAAAGAATTTCAACAATTCATTTTAAAAAGCTTTTATATTCATTGTTTGAATTATTTATAGTTTAATTACATTTTCATTAGGATAAGTAGAGATGGCTGAGGACAAATAATTTAAGTAGTGGCGATGTAGAAATAAATAATGCTGAGTGAAGAAACAGTGACTTAACTTTCTTAAGGGTCGAAATTCAAATATATCAACGTGGAAATTAATCTTTTGAGAATTGGCTTTAAATGGCACTAGGGTCCTTGAATGGTGTAATGTGTGTTATGGCTTATTCTACCTTCAAGATTGACATAAACTGCCCAGTTTTTTACCTTTCGTAGAAAGATAACCACATAAACATGATCTGAGTTGTAGCACATCCTTATCCATCCCCTCTTATCTAACCATTTATCTAATATTGATACAATTAATTGATAGTTTATGAAGACTACAATTTAGGATGCTTGGTTTATTTGAAAAGAAGTGGAGAATAGTATAAAATTTAGGCGGTTTGAGGGTAAGCGATTCCATTCCCCTCCGCATCACCCCAACTTTGAAACAACAGCCGACAGTTGATCAGCTGATATATAAATTAAGCTTAAAGAAGTCATGGGGGAACTTAGTAAACTTTCCCCTCAAAACGCCTAAATTTGTAAAAGTACTATAATTAACAGCTGATTTAGGTTTGGAACTTTAAAACTGTTTCAATATTGTCTGGGATTTTGACTACAAAAATTGTTAAATGCACTTGGCGTACTTTTTCACTTTTTGAACGCCAGTCTGTTGATACCCTATCCTTTTTACATGTGCTCTAGTAGGTAAATTTACCTAATTTTTTCCTTCTTGATTTTAATGTACAAACAATTCACCAAACTAATTCTACCCACCTGGAACCCTGTAGGTCTGCCATCCTTGGCCAGTCCTGTAGGACAAGAGCAAGTAGGAAGTTCTATCAGGTTGAAAAGCGTGCAATAACCAATGTTGAGAAGCTTGTAGTAGAACTGGAGGTGGAAGTTAGTCATATCGTGGAATGTGGGGTACAAGAATACACCATCATCCTTCAACATATCCTGGAACAAAATTGTGTGTTTGAAAATTGCTGTTAAAAATATGATAAATCCAGACAAAGTGATCACATCAGCATTACATAGATACATATATGACAAAGCTTAACCATGGAGTACGAGGTGGAATGTGGGTCGTGTGGTGTCTACTTAAAGCCAAGATTAGTAACCGTACTTGTTAAGTACTTAGGATAAACGTTTACGTTCATTGACTAACCCATTATGCTTTAATTCTACATGGGACTGGGCATGTTGCAGAAATGTACACAGAGACTATAGAAATTTGGACGTGAACCAAAGCAAGATTTAACAGACATTAACATTAACATTAACAGACCTAGATGCCATTTGTCATTGGACTATCAATTAATGATCTTATCTAACAAAAGGCCAACATAAGATAGTAATAAGACCAGGGTTTAGACCATTTTTACAAAAGAACTTAGGAAATGCCACTGGGGTGGATAAACTCAAAAAAAATATGATGCTACATTTACAAAATATAATAATCCACTCGTTAAACATATTAGTTATATACCCATTTTTTCCTACTTCTTAAACTGAATCTAAAAAATATTTATGAAATGTTATTCTAGCATCAACATAATATTTTAGCCCACTAGAATCAGCCCACTCTCATCTAAACTGGAATTAAAATTTTAAAAGTACACTATGGCTTTGTAAATGCTAACTTACATCAAATTTTTCAATGAGTGTCTTCTTGGTCTGAAGCATTTCTTGGAACTCCTTGTCCGAGATACTATCTGCGTACTTCTTGATGGGTCCATAAACAAAAGGTGGATGCGTGTGATTCGTGCAACCAAAGACATACTTCATGTAGGTCAGGATCACACTGTTCCATTCCTGTATAGAAAAGAAATTTCAGAAATCTCATCTTGACCTCCTGAAAATACCCTTCCTCAAAACGCTTGAATATTGTCATTGAGCTCAAAGATTCCCTCCAATCCAGAAGTATCACTTACGTTTAACAGGATTGGAATATTTGCATTCCAGAAACTACATACAAGCTATATACGCATCAAGTATGGTTAAGCAAAACCTTCTATTAAACCAATAGTTTATTTGGATTAACCTGAGAGGTTTTTGACACTGTTTTGCTTAGCGTTCGAATTCAGCCTTCATTTTCTCATAGCTAAATTATTTACTTTCACTTTAAGTGTTTTATCATGGCTCTCAAATAAAATTATTTGTAAAGTCAACATAATTAGTTATGAGATACCTTCTTTATAGATTGGTAGATGAAATTAGGCTGTACAATAATAACTATTAACTATACAAAAAGTCATTTAAATAATAAATTAATATTGGTTTAGGTACAGTGCTTGCAGATTATGAACTACTATATTGAATGAAAATCCGTGCATTTGGAAATTGGATTAGCGATTTATTGAAAACTATCTTACTTCAGGATTGTCTTCAGTCTTTTGGTAAACTGTGTGACATGATTTCATCCGTAACATTACAACTCCTGCAACCTGAAAAACTTCTTCAATTTCCTTGATTGAAACCTGCAACAAGATAATTACTACTGTAGGTACTTAACAAATTCTTATATTAGAATTGAAAAATGTACTTTCTAGTTGGATTTTGAATCACCATTAATGATTTTGATACACTTGTAATTATGCCATGTAGGATTACTTAGAAAAATCACTAGATCAGTGAATGAAATTGCAATGGACTTCCAATAATTTTAGCACGGTTAAGAACAGCCCCATGCCGGATTACTAGAAATTAAAGACTATCAGGTGGCATAAAATTCTTTGTTGTAGCCCCAGAACTGATATATATATATATATTAAATTGGTTTTACATTACCTTCATCAGTTCCAAATTTCAATCTATTTGGAAATGATGAAAGTAATTAAAGTGGTTTAAATACCTGTAATGTCGACAATCTCAAGTGGTTGTGAAACAACTAGTTTCGGCTCATAACGGAGCCATCTTCAGGTTTTGAGCCGAAACTAGTTGTTTCACAACCACTTGAGATTGTCGACATTACAGGTATTTAAACCACTTTAATTGTATCTCGATAATCCGGAGGCTACCCATTCGAAAAAATGAAAGATGAAAGTAATTTAAAACCAATTTAACATCAGGTGGCTACAACTCTGAATGTCACTAAAGGATGTGCCATGTTAGTGAATACAGTCCTGTGATGTTATTGAGATAAAACTGTATTAGGAATAACAAGGTTAACTAACACAACCGTTACTCAAAATCAGACCAACATAAATAATCTCCTTTAGGATAACATTATTAAGGTAACGGGCATTCCTAACCGTGAGATGTTGGACTAACGGAAGTTCACTGTGTATTTGTTCACAGAGACAAAATCCCACTTGTGTTCAGGTAGATTAGTCAAACTTATGGCTGTCCAGGCTATCCATTTTTCACACAAAACTGGTACATATGAAAGGGAGTCTACTAAGAGTATAAAGTGGCAATAAGTTCTATCAAAATTAAATTGAAAGCATTGCATGTATCAAAGTGAAAGATTGGAAACCCCTCTGCACATAATTCTACTGATTCACTTCCCTACCAACCTCCTGTGCTATGATATTGTACTTGTTGGCAAAGTGAGCGACCGCTCGTCTCATTGCTGTCTTCAACTCAGGATGAACTTTGTTTGTGAGCACTGAAGGATCTTCTTCCATGTAATACACTTTTATCTTCTTTAGATCCACCTGCAACATTTTACCTGTTTAGCTTTCATTTGATACGAGATCATCTTGAAAATTAAGAAGTTAAACGGGGCAAAGCCCGCGGGTTACAGCTAGTATTGCTCTAAAACAAATCGAAGATTACAAAGATTGCTTTAAAAATAATTTAAACATCCTAGTATTTTACTATGTATAATTTAATTAATCTGTCATCCTCTTACAGAAGAATTGGACGTATCAATGGACGCATTACACATAGTATAAATAAGTCAACCTTAAGTATGTCTTTACATTTTTATCCAAATGCTGAATTTGTGACACAAAAGATGAATGTTTACAGCTGTTATGTTAAGCAAATTATTTTATGCCAAAAGCTAGTTTAGAATCTTAGGTCGGCTGCTAGACTTTTTAAAAATTAAAACTTAATTTCTAAAAAACTGGGACCCTAAACTAAATTTATGGCTTCGACATTCCCTAGTTCTCAAAATTATCTTTCTTTCAACACAAAAATCATGAAAATCCGTCGAGTGGTTGATTCAGAATCGTGAAATAAAAAAACACTATTTCGTTTTAATATTATAGATTTTGTCCCCCCATGGATGCAGATTTTAATGTAAAAAGTATACACTTTTTTCTTGCATTTATTAAAATTAAAGTAAAAAAAAAACGTCTTAACAGCTTAATTATTTTTTAATAAGAGATTGAATTGAGAAGTCAAAAGGGATTATTTTACTTACATTTTTATTTTAGTTTCTATCCATGGGAATTAGTATAACAATATTAAAGATTGTACAAAAAAAGACGTTAAAGAATGAAATGTTTCAAGTGAGTAGTTCTAAACTTGAAATTGTTGTTGAAATCAATGTTTTGTAAAATTTATGGTTTTTGGACATCAATAAACCGGTACTGGTAATTTTAAGAATTAAATAGATGAACAGCAATTTTATCTGTATAGAGAGTAAATATAACAAGAGCAATAATTTCAGAGCATCCGGAGTAAAAAAATAAACACTCATCCGTCACTCTTCTTCACAACTATAGTGTAACTATACAAATAATCAATCCCTTGATTAATAAACAATCCCTTGAAAACACAATTTCTGTCAAACACAACCATCTTGATGTTCTAGTTGGTCTGAAAGATGGCACCGTAGTGGGCCAAAATACATTACCACCTATATAAAAATATTAAGTATATATATACAGAAATTGTATTTTTATCATGTGAGTCTTTTATAATAACACGTTGTACAATAATTGTTAAGAGATTATTGTCTCTTGACAAAATTTAGTAGGGGGGGGGGGAAAGCTTTCATGGGTTCTCCTAACACTTTTTGCTCTATATCTACATATCAGCAGATTAGCTAGTTAAGGTGAGTTGGAGATCGCTTCCACCCAAACCACTTAAATTTTGTGAATGGATTATATAGTGGCTAATGTCAATAAAGTGATATAGTAAATAATTTTCTTCAACTACTTGGCCTAAGGTCATTACCGGTTCATCGAGTCTAAGAAAGTCTCGTTTCTCAGGATCGCTGATGGATCTCATATACAGAGGAAGATCCTCCGCATATCTACACATCGGAGCAATCGAGAAGAAGTTAGCCCAATCAGGATCTTCTGACACTGGAATGTGTCCGTCAATACCCGTGTAGCCTGGAACATTTCCGTAATGAGGCTGGAGCACCCAAAAGAGGTGATTTTAGCATAACACTTCTAAAAGAGAAAGTGGACAATGTACAGTGCTTTTCGTCAAATGCAAAGGAAATTGCATGTATAGTATAGAGAGTCACTATTTAGGGACAAATCAAGCTCAAAAGTTGGCAGCCTTACTTCCTTTACTTCATTACCAATCAGCTGATATGCTATGGCGTTATTGTGTTTACACAGCACACTCACAAAATTTATGCAATAAATTCCCAATCAAACTGAAACATGTAGATGCATATCAGGTTAACGGTAATTAAGTAAAAGAAAATTAGGGCTGCCACATTATAAGCTTGTTTTGTTTCTAAACAGTGACTCTTTGTTCTTGTAATTTTGGTTGAGTTTGAAAAAAAGAAACAACTCTGTGTAAGACATTTTATAAGGACAGCATATTGCCATGAAAAGAAAGGGTGGGAACTTTCCAATCCGTTCATAGAAAGATTTATATTTTAATTTAATATCAGACCATTTCAAATGAATCATTTTATACCCTTAATGACAAATACAAATCTTGAATCCTTACGATACATTAAATCAATTTCAAATGGCTTTAAAAATAGCTGCCTTGCGTTTAAAAAAAAGCTTTGACAGATTCCGATTAACACATAAAAGTTCAATTATTATAAAGCTTCATCAATCATCAGTAGTTTCACTACGCACCAGGAGTTGGTTTATGTCCGTAAACACCACAGAACAGAGCTGGTATTCGTCCTGAACCTCCGATGTCTGAAGCTAGGCCAATAACTGAAGCTCCTGCACCTAGCAAAGATGCCTGGACAATACACATTCCATGAGTTGTTAAAACTAAGTTGAATTCAATGTTAATTTTTTTTAATGCAGTAACAGTAAATTAAAATTTTCTGTTCATATTTGTATTTCAAATTCTGCTAATATCAATTAAGCATGGTAAGACTGTTTATGTGATATATCTTTCCCAACTTATAATATTTCAAACATAAAGCTCGGTCCACATTATCACATGCTCAATTATCTCAATGAAAAATATTTTTAACATGTGAATATTTCAAGAGAAGACACATTTTTTTTCATTTAATAACAGTGTATGTAAAGTCTTAGAATTTATTTATAATATTATAAGATTTCCCATCCTACCTCTCCCCCAGAAGAGCCGCCAGCAGTTCTCCTGATGTCGTAGGGGTTATTGGTGCGTCCCGTCACATTGTTGTATGTCTCCCAGCTCATGCAGACTTCCGGAGTGTTTGACACTAAGAGAGGGATCACTCCGGCCTCCTTCAGTCTCCGAACAAAACTAGCGTCCGCTGCGGCCACTCTCTCCTTGGGCTTCACTCTACCTGCGTTGTGGCTCATACCTGAAAGTGATGAAAGATTGACAAAGAAGAATGGAAACATGCGAGGGTCTTATATTTTAGGCTATAGAATTGCCTCACTCTTACCTGGGTGCGAGCTAGTCTAGTAATAGAGATCAGAGCTTTGGGTTCGGAGGTCCAATGTTCAAGTTCACCAGTTATTGCTTTAGATATGAATGCTTTGGCCCTCCTAGACTTAGCCTGAAGTAAAACGTTCTGTGCTCAAGCAATTCTGAGCTCTAACAAACGCCCTAGAATATTAAGGTAGGACAAAAAATGTTCTCGTAAATAATGATCTCACATATCCAAAATATATGTTAGTTTAACAATTTCTTCATGGATCAATAAACACATAGTTATTATTGGCTACAATATATACCAAAAACAAATTGAATTTATAGATACAATTAATTAATTTATGAGATCCAAGGGGCAAAAGAAGGCGTGAGTGACTATGAGCTGCACACCACCAGCTACCACGACACTGGGAGGGTCGCGAAACAAGAAACTCCACCGATCCGCAAGATCGCGTCCGTTTCTTACAATATATTTTACTGAAAAATAAGTATCCAGTTTTGATGAAATTCGGTATAAACCTGTGAAGCTGTGTTGATTTAAAAACACTATATTAACTTGGATGCAGCATCCAACCTAACTCGTCGGCGATGTACGCTTGGACCACCTCCTCGCAGCAAACCTGGATAAAACCATGAATAACTTCACAGCAGATTTTGTTATGGGTAATCAAATTTGTTCACTCGGAGCACCTCCTAGGACAAAAACAACCACGTGGAGGTGTAAAGCGTGATAAATAACTAATTTTATTTTAAAATAGGGAAAAAAGCTGACTGAAGGAAATATTTTGACGAAAATGTAATCAGACAAATGGAAATTCGGTTAATCTGTAAGTTTGCTCTGTTTTCTTGTGGAGATATTTTTTGTGTTTTTAGACTTTTTTATCAGTTGATTTTCTAATATGGCATGGAATGGAATATTATTTACAAGCTAAAAAATAACAAGAGTTAGTTCCGATTATAGAATGTAGCGAATTAATTAATGCTTTTGAGTTGTAGGATTTTTAGAGGCAGCAGCCAGTTGCAGAACATTTTCCTCTATCAAACAAACATATAATCTTATAACCAATAAATAATGGCAAAGTCAAGGTGAACACAGGCAAACATCAAGAAATAACCTCCACCTAGAATCGATAGATCGTATACCGTACTTCACTTTCACTAGTTTTCTCTCAATGAAAATGTCCACATTATTTTAAAGATACACTTGTAAATATTCTATTTTTGTAAAACCTATTGAAAAAAGTAAAACTCAGTCCATATAGTATCATTAGTTAATTTAATTGAAAAGTATTTAATGTTGGAATGTAAACGGATAACCTTTTCAAGAACCCAAGTAAAAATAATTCAATAATATAGTGTTTGTTATGGTTTGTCAAAGTTATGTGATTTTTTAGATGAATGTACACAAATGTTAAATGATGACTTGAGCGGATCAATTTTTTATCAACTTTTAGATTTTTCTAAATCAATTTAATCAATACATTACTTGATCTAACTAAAGAAGTATTAGTGGTCCCATCTCTTGGGCCCATAGCGTGTTTCATGCAAACTGCGGGCCTGGGGGGTCATCCGCTACAAAGGACGAGTCAGAGCTGAGACAGGAAATCTGCTATGTGTATAACAATTAAAGATAAAACTTTTGAAAAAAAAACACCCATCATTTTTACTCACCCTGCACGGCAATGCTCTCCTTGATGGTGATAGGGACTCCAAACAACGGTCTGTCCTTCTTGAGCTGGTCAGGATTGTAAACTCCCGAGGCTAACTGCAAATCTACAGTTCTAGCCTCTTGTAGCGCTTGTTCAAACCTGTCCTGTACAACAGCGTTGAGAAGAGGGTTGACTGCCTTCACCCTGGCGATGTACGCTTGGACCACCTCCTCGCAGCAAACCTGCATAAAACCATGAATAACTTCACAGCAGATTTTGTTATGGGTAATCTAATTTGTTCACTCGGAGCACCTCCTAGGAAAAAAACAACCACGTGAAGGTGTAAAGCGTGATAAATCAAAATGTTTTTGGTGCAGATGATCAAAATTTGCCAAAATGGTGTAAACCGCTAAAACTCAATAAAATAGGAAATTTCTATTACTTCTCTGTTCCGTATTTTGTCAGCCAATGACGTGGCGCTGTGAAGTAGTAGATTGTTGTCTATGGCCGGCAGTGGCGTCTTCTTACGGAATACGGCCATCAGTCTCGAGTACGGCCACACGGTTAACCTCAGTAACCAGACCAGTGTCCGCATCACGTACTTGGAAAACTTGCCCCACATCTGCAACAATGTACAATAATGTAGTTGGAATAACACGAACACAGACATAGAGGGAATAGAGCATGTGAAAGAGGTTGGGTTGTATGGAATAAGCTGAGGCCAATCTTTTAATTTTGAAACTGGCTGGACCCAGCTGTTCTTGATCGGCCCCGGGTGAATAAAAAACTGGTATTTTTAGTGTAGCTACACAATGAATCCTACGATATTCTACAATCATTCTTCGATCATATTTTAGGTCAAAGTATGCGGAGTTGCACATCCCGATTAGTAATGTAATGGAGACGAACAATTTTAAAAGAAACACAGTTGAGTTCCTAAGATATCATTGATGATTGTAGGGTACGTAAACATTTGACGTTACTTCCCAGTGTTTCCCAGCAAGCGAACTGGTCTAGTAGTAGAGCGCCAAGTTTCGGTCACTGAAGTCTTGGCAACAATTTAATGGCATTTAGTAATGAAATAATTCCATGAACCTCAAGACCTAATCTGGAATAATGTGTAAAACTGATCCGGACTAGAGCGTTAAGTCCAAAGATGTGAAAGTACCTACAAAAATATATCACATAGCATTCAGGGCCTTTTCACTTTTATGATAAGGCTACAAGAAAGATTTGAAACTGATATCTTACAAACGGTTATGACATTTTTTTTAATATGCAATTTTTAGGAGGCAAGTAGGCTAAATCTCTTTTAACTTATGGTGATTCTTATAAAGTTATACACTAAATTAATAATTTATAAGAATTAACTGCTTACGTATTTTGTAAACATATTTTTTAAGGAGAATATCTTAACACAAAAATTATTCTTCTCACCTAAGAGACTTTGATTGTAACATTTTCGGGTTCAAATCGCGTCAATCACCAAAGCCTATAACTTTTAGCTACTGGTGTGTGATAATGCCACGGCCCTCTAAACTTAGCCTGAAGCAAAATAGTTTTTATCTACAGGCACAGTGAAAGAGCTACCCCCTAAAGTACGAGACATATAAATATATAAATATTTTTGAGGGTACTACTAGTACATACAAAATACGTTATCGTGTAATTAAATGAAAAATCCGTTTGTCAAAGAAATAAATTAAAATTCCGTGTTTCACCCATTCTCCCGTGTAAATGCTAGTAGCGACAAAGCACCCCCATGTCCGACACTTTCCCCATGCAGGTAATTATCACTTTGTCTTGTTTGTCATCCGCTTGTAGCCTACAGGATGTTCCTGTATCCCTGGCCTGTTTCCGGTAAATACGTCACACTTGGTTTACTTCCTCCGCGACACAAAGTAGACCACGAAGGACACTTTTATAATCTAAGATGATTTTTAGTAGTCAAATAAATCTGGGCAAGGACGTCAAAAGTAATACATTTTCCTACTTAAACATTCATCCGCTGATTTTGCGGAGGAAAACAGTTCCGATTGATAAAAAATTTGACTTCATCGTGTTTATGTGTTTACTAATCATGTTAAATTGTATATTTCCCTACAAAAACGTCGAAATATCTCCCTTTATGCACAATAGCGACAAAGTTGACAAATTTGTATTATTGTGTTGGCGGAGTGTATAGTCAATGGTAATACATGTTACTTCACAATAACGGTAACAGCTGTTCGTATACCATAGCAAACAAGACGGAAATAATTTGGGTGCTAATTTATTAAGTTGTGTGCAATGTAGTCTTGAGATTTTAGCAGCGCAGTGAAACGAAAATCAACGAACCAAGTGTCTTTTCAACTTCGGCGCTTTTTTGAGCTCATATCAAAAAGAGTACTGTACCTAACTTTAGGCTCTAAAGGTTTTCTTCTTAAATACCAAGTAATTGATTTGTAATATTTGAGGGCAATAACCATTATGTTAATTTAATTTCGTCGTCTCATTTTAGTCACATGACATGAGTGGTGATCGCAGTGGTAGATCAGAGGTACTAGGGGTAGAGCGCAGGACATCCGCCGAGGTCACGGGTTCAAATCCCACCAGTCACCAATTGATTATATCCAAGTGGTCATTCCACAAACTCTAGGCCTAGATTGAAGTACTGCAATGCTGTACAGTCACGTGCTAGAGCCTTGTATAACAGTGATAAAATAAATTTCGATTCTCGAACCAGCAATGTCAATTAGATTTTAGCCCAATATACTAATAACGAAGTAGGGGTACAGTATTCGGCAATTTAATAATCTAAAACTTTGTAACATTAAGATCTTTAAGTTTTCGGATAAAAATCATAAACAAAATTTTGCCATTGACTGACTGTTTGTCCATCTTTGTAATTGATTTACAAAACTACCTATAGAAAAAATCTATCATACAATATTTCCTTTACAGAAAAGTAGGCCTACCGGTAACTTTAAACTTGTTTGTCTACTTCGATGTTGTCCTTGTAAAAATATCAGTGTCTGCTTACTATCAATTCAACCTAGGTCGCCTAGGTCGGCTAAAAATCCTTGTTCCAATAGTTTACTTGTGTAGCTATCCTGTAGATTTTAGGTTTTGGTAAACAATTACGTTTTACCATTTCTTACCATTCTACGTTAGATCCAATCAAGAGCAAACTGCAAGTGTCTCTTCGCTGCAAACAAAGAAATCATTTACACGTTACTTAACCCTTCCTTGCTAAGCCTTTGTTTATTTTACACAACATAGGACATCCTCGTTGTAGCGTTGTAGGACGAGGCAGGATAATTAAACATATCCTGGGAGATCAACAACCGACAGTTGTCCTTGCCCGAGGTGTAGGAAGAGGGCGGAGAAAGCCAACAGCTGATTGCACTTTACGCAAGAAACACCAAATGTATGTAGGACTATTGCAAGTTGTGGAATCATCTAATTTAAACTCTCCAAGCAAATTTCTCGTCCTAATTTTAACGACCTGTGAGTTAGAGGGTCATGGCATTATCCCTGGGAATCCATTGGTGCATGTCGGGATTTGAACTTGGGACCTCACGGACCAAAGCGCCGCGGAACCATTAGACCAACTCGCTCCCGCCTATACTTAGGAAGGAGGGGAAAAGTTTATGTTGTGATAGAAACCACCACATAAATAATAATATTGAAGTCAGGTGAAAATATAAATAAGACCAAATACTTTACTAAACAGACTGTAAAAAGTTCGTCAAAAATGTGTTTGGAACTTATTCAGAGTTGTCTGAGTGACAGTCCTCGCCTTCAAATGTGAAGGTGGCTGGTTTCATCCAAAGCGAGATCGATTCTAGGCTTAAATGCCTTTTACAACTACAGCATTGGGCGGTCTATTAATGATGATATCGTTGCAATAGACTGCGCTATAAAATATTCATGCAAACATTTTATATCCATTTTAAGATCAACATTTCATAACAATCGTGTGCAAAAACTTCATATCCTTATTTGAACAAGTTTTTTGTTTTAAACGTTACATTGGCTATGTGCAAAAGGTCAAACATGTTTATGGTAGAAAAGATGTATCACGCTTCACTGACGGACGCAAACAAGTTATTTATTCGTTTCCCTGAACGCACCTTGATTCGCGCATTGAAAATATGTAGCTTGACTTTGTAATCAGCTGGCTTTATAGGGTGACGTCATTGCATGTGGTAATAATGTATCTATGGCGGTATTTTTCAGGCGCATTTTATTTATCTTGTCTTCCTCAATACCTTTTCATGGATTGTTGAAATATTCAATGCTAGTGCTTTACAATAAATGTTCGGTTTCAATTATACCATTTTCTTCCACTTTCTACAATTTCAAATAACTTTTTGAAGGAGTAAATAGTAAATATAATTATGATTCTGTTCTGCGGCGCTAGTGAGAAATGGTAAATATAACAGTACCGTAGCTAAAACAAGGGGACAGTATGTACAGTATTATGTTACAGTTTGTTTTGGATGATACTATACAACTTACTAAATAGACAAACCATAAACAATATCAAGATATAAACGACATGTAAGCTAATTAGTAGGTTACATAATGTGAATATGTTTAGGTTATAAAGTATTTGTGACGAGGCACCGCTCATCAAAGGATGCTTTTGGACAGAAACCATTGTACAGGGAAAGCAAAATACAACGGAGACTACAAGTTTTTCGATTCAATACCATTGAAGTTTTTACTAATATAATTTCACATAGTTGTTGCTATTTATTCTTGGGGAATCCCTTATAAGAATATGTGAACGGCAGGGTTAAGCTTAATTTCAACATTTTTTTGTCTTTGATTCAAAGAAGGACTGGTTAACTGTCGTAATGAAAAATTGTCTGCTTTATCATCTTGCATGGAAGAGTAAGCTAAATTTGATCAAATCAAGTGACAAGTTAGCAATTTATAATGTTAAATCATGCAATAAGTACAAAGCTGAAATCGCTTCAAGGTTCGTACTATGCAACGAACTAGAAACTAGAACTAGAGTAAAGAAACTACAACTTCCTCAGCAACCCAAGGATGTCAAGTTTCTTGTTGGCACTCTGACAACTAAAGCTTGCGAAGAAACAATAGCTATGAAGACTTCAATAAAAATGTCGGCGCCATTGTGATGTAATTAAACTGAGCTGGAACCGGTTTATCAACGACAGGGCGTGTACTAATCTCACACACAGCAAGGGCATGGTTATGACGAAGCAGTGACAGTTGGTATGTTAAGTATGCATAAGGGGTCTCGATCCCGGGAGTAGCTAGATCAATCCCAAGACATAAGGACCAATCCTAGGATTCTCAAACTTTTTGTAACTCATAAAATAAAATAAAATAAACTTAGAAATACAGAGATAATAAATATCTCGAAATATGTAGATATGTGTTCCCGATAATATTTCAGGTTAACAGGTTAACATATAATACAATTGTCGAATCAGAACTAAATGGTGGGCCAACTTAATAATATCAAATTTGAAAAAAAAAGTTTCGAGGGAAAAACTACTATATAAGAGGAATATAGCAGTAAGGATATTAACGGCTGTTTTTGGCATTCCAAATCAATCAGCTGATTTAGTGAACACGCAACAATGAAACGGTTTGATAAAGAAC